CTTAAAATTTTTCGAAAATTAATTTTATCCTTAAAACCTCTAGAAATAGGAAAATGCCTTTGACGAAAACAAAGCTTCTTGGTTTTAAATGTCAGCCCTTATTATTTTCCGCTACATTTCGCTAAATTCTTAGACCTAGAACACTTGAGCCCGCGTTGATAACCGCATAGCATTTTACCAGTTTGTCGAGAATGAGCTGGACAAGGGGAAATTTACTAGCCGCTGTTCGGGAATATGAGTCCGCGCTCCTACCAGACTTGAGAGAACAGCGGAAATCGAGCCCGGGGCCGGGAGAAGGTAGAGATAATGGAGTAGCTGATATTTGACTCAAACTTGCGAAAAAATAGTTAGAATAAAGTGGATTTTACCACATACATTCTTGAGTTGTCGTAAGTTAATGACCATCTCAGCGCAAGATGATTTGCTTGATGCCTGCAGCATAGAAGGTTGGTCTGTCGCCAGTCTCTTTCTAAGCTTGCCTCAGGCCATGTTTAGTAAAATCACTGAATGTTAAGTTTCTCTCCGATAACAACCCCAAAACTGATGTTCGCATGGTAATGGCCCAATATTGACCATGTTCTCATGTGATTCCTTTCAAACTGAAACAAACTCACGAAAAGCCTATCCGAGTTGTTGAAAACGAGGTACAGAGGTATTGCATAGCGAACAAATGAGGAGTTCTAGTTGGGGTCGGGTGACTCGGGTCGCTTTATCTACCGGGTTGGATTTTCAGGCACGTTTCCCCTCGAAAAAGGCGTGGGCTCATTTTCCGAACAGGCGGAATCGAACCTGTTGCTTCTTTGCTTATTTCTTTTGCCCGACACGTCCAAGGCAATCTCTTTTTTTCTCTTTTCGCTGCTATTACGCCCAATTTATTCGGCGACCCTAATGAGTGATGGCATGAACAGACTATGCTACGCAAAAACTGTTGTTTGCGAGAGAATTATCTAAGGGAGCATTCATTATTTATGGGAGGGGGTGGGCTGGCAAGATTTTCGGTGAGACTAAACAAAATATCCTGACCCTGCTCTATAAGAATTAAAACTGTCATGACCCCTCTATTCGTAATTGCAAAAATAGCTCGCCCCCCCCCCAGGTAACTTAGATGGGCATGGTGGGTAGTAGAAATGTTCCACAAACTTAAATCACATTTGTAGATGATATGGTAACAACAAAAAGCTTTTGACCCCCCTAAACTGTTCCCAAATTTTTCTAATGACCCCCCATTTTAGTTCCTGAATTTATCATGACCCCCTCTTTATTCTTGCCAGCCCTCCCCCCCCCACGCCATAAAGAATGAAGGCTCCCTAAATCACATGCAAAAAATTGTAAATGTAATAATTCATCATTTTTCGTTTAGATTAAAACTTTATCGAGAAGAATTTCGGTCTTTTCTAATAATTTTAATGAAACTAGAACATATTGGTATAATGACAAACATTTTGGTGCAAGTTAGAGGTTGTCTTTGGCAAACACTGCTAACAAGCAACTATCATAAAATGATATGATTGAATTAGACAACCATAACGGCAAATGAGCACATCGGTCGCAAATCAACTAATAAAGTTTTTCTGTTCCCAGAAATCCGCGTTTCTTTTTTGTCATGCAGGAGAAACGAGTAATAGCTGGTGAAAATTGAGGGAGAACTGGGTGGCTGGCCGTTACTAATCCTCACCCCTCCCCTCTCCCCTGACAAAAAATTTTGGACGAGAAGCATATCAATGTCAAACTGGCGTAATCATCACCAAATTATTACTTGGCTGGTCATCGACAATCAAGGAATGGCGCGTACTTTTATTCGAGAACCACTTCTTGGGATGGGAAAATTCTATCCTTTTGCGGAAAATTGAATTCCACTCCGAGTGCGGGCTAAAAAAATAAAAAATATTCTTTAACCCTTGACGATAATTCTCACTGAAAATAAAGCAAATACAAGGATTTACTGCACAGTTTGCGCGACCTATAAATGATGCGATAAAATGATATTGCAGCATATTACACGATAATAGTTTAGTTGTATCCCATACTAGGAGAGAAAGAACGTTGTAGATACTAACTGGCATCCAACAAACTGCAAAGCCAATTACAATAGCAGTGGCCATCTTGAGTACGTTTCGCTGTCTCTTGATGAAATGTTTCTTAACTTTGATTGAATGTTCTCCTGGAGGCTTCTGGGATTTGAGCTTCACGAGTATGATTGAATACAGTATGATCATCAGGGAAAAAGGTATATATAGGAATATAGCCAAAGCAGCTAAGAAAAAGAATATGGGATTGGAAGATTCCCCAA